CGTCGAACGGCGGACGAAAGTTCTGCTCGTGTTCACCGGAACCGAAAGAGGAGTTCTCGTGAACTGTGCAAAGTTGACGTTTGCAATGGCATCAAACGACTACACAACAGCAAGATTGACTCGTCCTCTTCTGATAAGATCGACCCACGAAGCTGCTGTTTCACTTCACGAGAGCGTGACAAGCAGAGCTAATCACTCCACGGAACTGGGGGCTACTGCAAGCGTTGCATTGCAACATTGACGAGCTCCTTCATGTGGCTTTGCTGGTCGCGCAAAACGAGGGAAGATGTCTCATCGACGAAGTAAACTAAATTAATTAATATATCAAGACCAAGATGTTGTGGACTCTGGTGTGGTCGCAGTCTCCTCTCGATGGATAGAAGTGGGTTGACCTCGTTGTCGCAACTTGGTCTTGTTGTCAGGGCGATTATGTAGAACGCACCTAGTCTGAAGTCGTCTACCGTAGTAGTTGTTATGACTCCCAGCATCAGACAGTCGACTTGATACGTTTGAGAAGGTATAAAGTCCACTCTCAGATTCTGGGAATCATGACAACTACTGTGGCGGATGACTTCGGACTAGGTGCGTTCTGCATAATCGCCCTGACAACAAAACCAAATTGCGGCAACGAGGTCAACCCACTTAAAAAATTAATTAAGTTGACTGTTGTCTTCTAATCAGATCGGCCCTCGAATCCCTCATTCGCGTACATTTGTGTTGGAAACAAAGTCTCAACGGCAATGTTATGACGAGACATGTATCGAAACCAGTTATTCTTTGTAAACCGTCATGAGGGAGGGGGAGGGGGTGAGGATGGTCGTCATCACGGTAGGATAAGGGAGCCAAATTAAATGAATGGATTAGGATTAGTTCGAATGTAAGAGATGAAGGAAGAAAATTGAGCAAAAACAACTTTGCTTATTTGATAGACCGACCAAAAGAAGGCGACTAAAGTTGTCAGTCCATTTGTACTTCCAACTGCATTAACATTCATTCGGCATGTCCATTTATGCTTGTCAAGCCAACCATACATGCGAAATTACGCGATTCCAGTCATTCTTTTGCTCGGCCAAGTAAAATGTAATGACTCCAGACTGATGGATTATGACTGTTGGTTGCATAATTTGATTTACCCGCGTTCAATATCAAAGTCACTTTCGGGCTTATGCAATCTCGGTGGAGTGTTTCTTGGAACAGAAAACCATGACGACGTTCGGCTTCATTTGTAATTACTCCCAGGTCTAGCCGCAATTGCATGTTTCCAGAGGTTAACCCATGCACGCACAGACGTACACACACACACACACACACACACACACACACACACACAC